CCAAACACAAGAATAAGAAATAGACAACTAATAGTAATAAGATATACATAACATTGCACTGAATCGAATGGCAGTATATGTTTAGTTAAGGCTTTGTTCTCTCTTTTTTAATTCCCTTTCTGACAGGACCTTATAATTCACGGATTTGGATTGTTTGCCCTTCCCATCCCATACCTTTCCCATCCTCTCCTATTTATGTGGTCACGGTTAAGCTACGTCAACATTTTATATTCCCATTGCTTTTTGTCTTATTATTTCTATAAAAAAATCAATATAAAATGTTGACGTGACTTAACAGTGACCACAGAAATAAGAGGGCATGGAAAAGGCAGACAATCCATGTCCATAATTCACACCAAAGATATTAAAAAAAGGAATTAATTCAGTTACATCCAACAATAGTGAAAATTCTTGGAATTGACATTTGCGATGCTCATTCTTGTGCATTATGAAAATCTAGTTGCGTCATCTTGGATTTTTCAACATTTTGACCAATATGCATACAAACATTGACTTTCCAATCGGAAAAGTTAAGTGGAAATATTTAAGTTAATTATGACATTTGATCTCATCTTAAAATCGTTAAATTTTCGATCTAAATAATGACATATAACTTGTGTTTAGAGTTATTTGTGACATTTGTTTTTATTTTTATTTAATTGTTTGCGATGGGCAATAGCGTAGTAACAACAATATAAGTTTAATATTTATTATTATTTTAGAGGACAACTATATTTCAATAACATTTGATATACGTTTTGAGGACTATACTATTGAAGATAAATTGGATCAGAATTATGTCATGTCGTTACACTAAGTTTGATTTTTGTTTAAGAATAAAAAAATATTATCTAATTGCCTAATCATTTTCATTTTTGAGTTTGTCGAAACTCTAGATTTTTGCTTCGTACAAGACAAATTTTTAGAAAGTGAGTGGAGAGTTGAAATGTCCCAAATATCTCTAAATACTAGTTATGTGTAAGGCACCCAAAATTTTTTTAAAGAAAAATTTAACAGAGTTAGAAATATCACACCCCTGCCCGAGCCCCCACCACATCCCGTATTTGACTTCACTGTAGCACAATATTATCAGTTTTGGGTTCCGACCACGCTCTCACAGAACTCGCTTAACTTCGAAGTAGGCCTGATGGTAGGTAGAGATGAAAATATACATATAAGGCTTATAGGATCCATTTCCCTGAACGATGTGAGATGTTACAAAAACATATAATAAAATAATTTCGGATAAATCGCTTAAAGTTTTAGTTGATAAATGATATTGTTACAAAAAAACATGTAGTTCCACATCCACTCCATCCAATAAAGTCGGCAAAAACTCATAGAACGACACGAAACGACGTTGTCAAGCGCGTTGAAAAACTGGCAAGGGGAAGAGTCCATTTTGACGGAAGGGATCATCTCCGAATCTTTTTTCACCAAATTCAATCTAGTTTGGGATCCCGGTAGTTGAATTTTGATTCAACGGTTACAAATATGAGCTTTTTAAAAGTTATAATAACTGTAACCGTTTGATGAAAATCAAACAGCCTGAATTCCGAACTAGGTGAATTTGGTGAAAAAGGATCTGAAGAGGATCCTTTCCCATTTGACTACCAGGAAAAGAAAAAAAAAAAAAAATCCTTTTCTCTCTTTCAAACATGGCGTGCTATTTTTCCATCACCAACGATAAACTTCACTTGTAGACAAAAATCCATTACGTCAAAGTCATCGACGTCGTACACATTCGCTCACACCAATCTTTCTGTCCACCGGGTCACACCCTAACCAAACCTCCTCCCCCAAGTCACAGGAGATCCCAAAAGACAAGTTAACTCCCCATCAGCCACCTCCGATCTGAGAACTAAATGTGAGTACGGCCGTTGCTTCCAGCGTCGACGACAATATCAAGGGCTCCAGCTGACCCGTCACAATACCCAATCTCATCTCAGCCGTCCATTGCTCCTCGTCTTAGTATTACACCAGCGCCACACCGTATCAATCTCTCTCTCTCTCTCTCTCTCTCTCTGTGCCGGCGAGGACGAATGCGAAGTGGGGGAAGACCTCGCGACGGCTGAGTTTCTGACTTGTAACTCGTTCGGACTCGGACGAATAGGCGCGAGCCTTGGCGCTTGGCGCGCGAGGTTTGTTGCGACGGCAGAGCTGGCAAAAGCCACGGCGGCCATGAGAGGGAGCGTGTGGAACCGTCGGACGGTACAGAGGCTGCGGCAGTTGCTGATCTCGACCGTTGGATCGATGAAGGTGAAGCTTCTGCTGTGCTGTTGCATCGGATTCACGCTCATCGTGCTCGCCAGTCGAGCTTCGGATTTCATGGGATGGACGAGTCACACTACGGCTCTGGAACGGTTCTCGGATTCCCGGTTCGTACGGTTGCTTAGATTTTTTTCCAAAAACTCCACATATCCGTATTATTCTCTAATTATTTAATTAGGCAAACTTCCGCTTGCACATCACTGTCAGTCATTCTATTTTTAGTAAATAAATTAAGCTCGTTGTTTATACTTTGATGTTCCACTTTCTGCTAATATCTATATTTAGAAAGACTGATTCCAAAGATTGATTAGAGGGAAGAAAACGGCTTGGTAGTTTGCAACAACTTCGTTTTTTCGAATACGAGTGTTTGATGCTCTGTTTATACCGGTATTGTTCGGGTCTGTTATGAGTTGTGGTGCATATTATGAACTATGGATGTTGTAGCAGGCATGATTCCGATGGAAACGGAACATTAGCTATTCGAAGATTTGGTCACTTTTCTGCCGGTTTTTAATCCAAATGGTCGCTGGATTGGCATAACTCCTCACTTTAGTATTTGATATTGAAAATCGATAGAAGTGGTCCTGTGTATGATTGATGGTGGACAAACCGAGGACAACTTGTATCGATTTTCAATGTCAGGGACCAAAGTGAGGAGCAGGGACTATTTTGGCTAAAAAACCCTGCTTCAGCTCATTTTCCAAATTGGATAAGATTGGGAAGATTAAGCTAGCTTTGTGTTGTTCTCATTTGCTTCTTTAAAGAGCACACTCCTAGAAAATTTTCAATTGGCTTATTGTTGATTGTATCATAGTAGAGATACCGTTCGTTAAGCATCCATGCTGAAATTTGCAATTTGTATGCAGGAAAGGATACTCTATTGTAATGAACACATGGAAGAGATATGATCTTCTGAAGCAGTCTATTTCTCACTATTCTAGATGTCCTCGGCTTGATTCAATACATATTGTGTGGAGCGAGCCAAGTCCTCCGTCAGATTCTCTCAGAAAATTTCTGGACCACATTGTACATCTGAACACTAGAGATGGGCGACAAGTTGAATTGAAATACGATATCAATAAGGAAGACAGTTTGAACAACAGATTTAAAGAAATTAAGGATTTGAGAACAGATGCCGTTTTTTCAATCGATGATGATGTTATATTCCCTTGTTCTTCAGTGGAATTTGCTTTCGATGTTTGGCAAAGTGCATCGGATACAATGGTTGGCTTTGTGCCTCGTATGCACCGGATTGATCCGGTATGCCTCAATCTGTACATTTTCTCGTCATTTAGAGAGAGTATTATCCAACATTCTTGCTGTCTTCTCTATATCTTAAGCTTCTATGTTGGAAAATTCATGTTAATTTCTGTTTGAGGTAGAAAGTTGGTTTTGATCTATTTGAGCTCGAAACTATGTATTGTTCTTTTACTTTTTAGGCTAGCCAACGTTTACTGAAGAAACACCGTTTCTTATTAACAATTTTGCATACTCTGTATGGCACACTTAGTCAGCTGTCTTACCAAATATATGCTCACTGTGCAGAAAGGTGATAAGAATCACTACATATACGGTGGATGGTGGTCGGTTTGGTGGACAGGTACATACAGTATGGTACTGTCTAAGGCAGCCTTCTTCCACAAAAAGTACCTAAGTTTGTACACAAATGAAATGCCAGCATCAATCAAAGAGTTTATAACCAAGAACAGGTTTGCACTTTTGCATGTTCATTTGTTTCTTACATTTCGAATGCTTTCATCTTTTGAGCTGTGCGCGCGGGTGTGCCGGCGTGCAGTGCGTGAACACAAAAGATTTTACTGAAATATGGGGTTTGATTTCACCAGGAACTGTGAAGACATTGCAATGTCCTTTCTTGTAGCAAATGCAACTGGTGCTCCCCCTATATGGGTGGAAGGTAATCATACATCCTCTGCAATGAAATTGTGTTCATTTTGGCTTTTGAAAACTTGAACAGGATGTTTCTGCATATTGTATTTTCACTTGTTGCATATCAGAAAGCGCTTTTGCAATACCTTAGTTTCTGTTGTGGCATTTTCTTTTCTGATTACTTATGTCTCGCTACGCATTACCGTACTTTTCATTCAGGTAAAATATTCGAGATTGGTTCAACTGGCATCAGTACCTTAGGAGGACATACTGAAAAGAGAACCAACTGCGTCGATAGGTTTGTTGCCGGGTTTGGACGGATGCCATTGGTACCCACTTCCGTGAAGGCCGTTGACAGTCGCAACATCTGGTTTTGGTGATTCCACAGCACGCTTGCATATTCCTCGATCAAATCCACGATGAACAAGAATTTCCACACTTCCGGTCGGTACTTCTTTGATCTTAGATGTATAATATTGAATTCTACGAAATGTGTGCGTTTTTGTGACAGCAGCCAATTTAGTGCGCTCATATAGATTGATAATTCGTGTTCTTACCGTGTAACACAAGGCAGGCAGTCGCTATATGGGTGATGAGATAGGTCTTTTCGTGTCCTAGTTTGTATTAGGTTGATGTAGAATGAACAGTACTTCTCGGTGTCACAGTTAGACGACCGGCGAGGAATTTACGACATCCTAGATCGGTTAAAATAACCGTCGGGAGTTTACCACACCCCGAAATCTACATATACCTTGTTCTTGAATTCAAAACATTTCCTTACTATTTCGGAAATATTCTGCCTAGCATCTCGTGGAAATCTTCTTACTATTTCGGCCAAACGGTTGCGAAATCGTCATTCATTTCTTATTGCGATCAAACTGGATTACAGAACTGAGAGATCTGCAGATTCTCTCGGTCAAATTCTTTCCTACAGATAATTTACTCAGGACCGGAATACATCCCTGGCAGTGCCGGGTGTCGGTACCCGGCATAATTGGGCAAAACTACGAAACTTTGTTGTAGTTATCGTAGGATGTACTGAGAGGGAAGCAAGTATCTTCGGCGCCAGTGCTCCAAAGGAAATTGGCATACCTGGAGGCGTAATAGGGATTGTCTGGCTCCTCTGCCATTGCTTGCTGGTATCTCTCTTCTGCACCCCACAGGTCTTTCCTTACTATCCACAAGAAGTCTGCGTACCGGATCAAAGCCTCGGCGTCTGGTTTCTCCCCTTGCACGGCACGCCTGAAGCACTCCTCGGCCCTGCAAACGTAACCATAGATCACACAACACCGGTCAAGCAAACTACACCACAACTCAAGTCCTATCGTATGAAAAGAAAACAAACAATTTAATCATAACCGAAAATCCAACTCCGGTAGAGGTCTCGATGCTACAAAAAATCATCACAATTACATCATACTTAGCTGCTCAAATTCAAAACCAAATCATTTAAATAGAAATGTCGATTGAAGCATCGAAAAACCTAACCAAATCTAGTCGTTTATCAATGATTTTCGGTCAAGTTAGGTTATGCAAAATAGTAAGCATATTGAAGCAGATAGTTTGATAATTGATAGTTGATACTCACCTATCGTGATCGCGAGCAACGACATGGAGGAATTGTGCATAGTTTGAGAGCAGAAGTGCATTGTGAGGATCCTGAGCTAAACCCATCTGGTACAAAAGATCAGTTCTAAAGTAGTGCTCATGATAATCCGGTTCGACATTCACAGTTATCGGCGACACAAATTGCTGCACCGTTGCGTGATCAAGAGCCTCATCCCTCATTTCTGATTGCATTCTCGAAGCTTCCTCCATCACAGAGTTCCACAACTTCACATCCTCCTCTGCGGTGAACTCCTTATCATAGAACAAGGAGACACCATACATCTTCTCAAGATCAACAATGGCATGCCTGATTGAACTTTCCGAGGTCACATTGTCACGAAAATCGGCCTTACTGCCCTCGTTCGAGGTCTTTTTCACAACCCTAGTAGAATCGTCGTCGGAAATATAATCGGATTTCGAGTAGGGTTGTTCCTCTGTCTCAGTCTCTGTCAAAGTCTCAGCCATAACAGGCAGAGGTGATGCAGCAACAACATTGCAATTCATCGAATACACACTGAAATTCGCCAGCAAGATCATCACATATACCATCAAAGTCGGCGACCCCGAAAACACCTGCTGGAACAACCACACAAATGACATGCTCATCTCTCTCTTCTGCACCTTCGCTATCACCTCGTGCAAATCTTCAGAGTACAAACTTTCCCTTATACTCAAAGCGTGGCTATGGAGCTCACAGATTATAAACACCATGGAAGAGAATGCCTTGTTCAGGGAGCAAAAAGTAATCTCCCCTGCTCCCCCTTTAGGACCCTCTTCCCTTTGCTGCCGCTGCTTCTTCTTGATTAACCGGAGCGAAACCGGAAACTCGAGGCTGTTGGCCTTTCTTTCCATGGCGGTTCTGACGATTTCGCTTCTCTCCGGCCAGTCCGGCGGCTCCGGATGAATCCCGAGCAGAGAGGGTTCCAACGCACTGAACTTGAAGCTTGAAAACCGCGTCGACAAGCCGCTGCCTTTGCTGTTTTCACCTTCTGGGTAAGTCAATATCGGAGAGATGTTCGAGGTCTTCGACGCCACAAAAGCCGGTTCCTCGACGTTCTCGTCACCGTCCTCGGAAAGATTAAACCTTTGCGCCAATCCCTCAATCTGGTTCGACAATTCTTCGCATGAGAAATCATCAAACTTCGATCTGCAAGACTGGTTCGAAGTACGTCGACGTTTCGAATCACCCGACCCGGAAGAGTTTAACCAACGAACGAACCCGCAACCCAGAGCTCCACCGCTTCTTCTCACAGAAGGGAAAGAAACCGAAACCGACGACGCTTTCGAAGAAGAAGATGTAGAAACTGGTGCTGAAATCTGCATCGAGCTCTGCCAGCACTGCCAGCTCTTAGAACAGGGTACGATTCTGGAACCCATATCTCGAAATCAACGACCAGGACTTGGAGAAGACGATTGAGAAATATGAAATACAGAAAGCCCAAAAGCCGAAAATTGCAAGGGAAAAAAAGAGTGGAAAAATGGAGGAACGGCGTTTCAGTTCACATCAGTTCACACCGCTTGAAAATGACATGGGAAGTCCCGTGTGCAACAAAAAAGTGGAGCTGCTGGAGATATTTTTAAGATATATTTTTTTTTGTTTTGGATTTTTTGGATCCTCCAAAAAGTAGTTCTAGAAGTCGCTTGATGAGTAAATTGCTTTTACTTCCATTTTAATCCAACCTGTCAAAAAAGCTTAAACACATTCCATAAATGAAACAGAAAATCAACAAGATATAAAGGTGTTCTTTTGAACTAAAATGGTTTTTGATATTAGTATAACTCTTCATTATTCACTGATATTTAAAATCTAATAAATTTGATCTCTGAATTTGTTTAACGTCTATCATTTTTGTAATTCCATGAAAATTTCTGTTAAATAAGGAGAAAATGGCAACAAAAATTTCTCGAAATAACCAAAATGATTGATAGTTGACAAACTCAAGTATCACTTCTATCAATTTCAAATTTTATGAACAAGATGAGCAGTTATGCCAGTCTCATGAACTATTTTGGCTAAAATTCCAAATATAAATTACTGAACAAAAACAAAAGATGTGTAGACAAAAAAGAATGTAGTTGCAAAAAAATTTCTTGTATAATAGAGAAATAATTTTCGTACTCAGGTTTTGACATTCTGCACTTGTCTTGCCCTTTCGATTTTAAATATATCAAACGGAAATCAACGGAAATGAATGCGAATATTACACAACCCAACATCTCAAATTATTGAAAAAGAAAATCCGAAGAAAAATTTGGAAAACAAGAAATGAAAAAAACAATGTGTGAGATGAAGAGAAAATTACATGATGGGGGACGATTTGGAGATCATTTCATGATTTCTCTAAAGCCATTGGAGCCATGGAGGAGCAGACAACCTCACCTTCAAATTTGTACTTGTTTTTTCCTTCTTTTCTTTTCTTTCTGTTGGAATTGACAGAGAGATCCAAAAATTTTGTTGAGAAAAAATGGGCAAAAGATGGGAAGAACCAGAATAGGTTACAACTTACAACTTTTTCAGGTTCTTTGTTTGTTGGCCGTAGAAAGGTATCACACTCACATAAACAATTCCTATTGGTTCATTTCGATGATCAATTACTTTAAGAATTTTTTTTTTCTCCGAAACTTTAAGAATTTTTTGGCTTACCACCGTATTTATTACGTTTGATGAGTTTAAATTTCGAGATTTATATAATTGATAAACATAAATTTTAAAATTTAAACTCATATATTAATGATAAATAGAGGGATGTGAATGAACTCATGATTCGATCCTTGAAAATTAAGTTTGTATATGATTTTTTCGAAAAAAATAAGTTCTTATAGTTTTTAGTGTGTAGAACCTGAGACGTGGTTTCAATACAAATATTATTCGTCATCATCATTCGAGCTGAACTTGAATTCTTTCTGTCACAATGAGATAATTTTAGTGAATTTAATAACTTTGTGTATTGAAAAATAGTTTAGAAACTAAATTTTAAGTAAATTAAATGAAAAAAAAAACTAATAAAAAGAATTTCAAAACTTTGAGTTTTAACTAAAAAAGCAAAATAAAAAGTAAAGTGAATAGTATCAGGATTGACTTTTTACTTTTTAGTGTAAAAATATGATTTTTCTTTAAAATAAACAGCACCGAAAACTTTTCATTAAAATCCCTTTAAATGAATTAGTTTATAAAAATAAATAAAAACCCTAAATGTACAAGTTTGCCAGAAATCAAAAAGATTATCTTTTCCGTGTATAATGATTGCAATCAATAAGTTTCTTTTGACAGAAAAAGGTTACAAATTTGTGGAGTATGTCGTCACAGTACCGAGTCAAATGCTGAGGACCATGTTTTTCTCCAGCTGCCGCTGCACTGTCGATGCTACCGACTCAACTACACACGTTTCACCACGATACGTGGACATATGTCGCTGTGCGGTTGGCTCCAAATTGTTTGCACAGTAGAAGTAAAAAGAAAACCAAATCCAAAACCTAAAAGAAGAAAATCACGAAACTCTTGGATTGGAAATTGCAACCCAAATTTACAATTCCCATCCAACTTGTCCGATATTCAATGAGACCGGCCATTAGTTTACTCTTAACCACATTGTGTAAATATTGTTGAAATTTTTTAGATTGATAGGTCGGGGAATCTTACTCTAACAACATCGATAATGTTCTTAATTTTACCACATGTCCAATCTGTCAGGTGTGGAGTTTTATTACAAAAAAACTTTGATATTAATTAGAATAGGATAATCATAGTTAAAGCCACCATTGTTGACTTCCTCCATCAATATGGAACTACCAACAAATATAGCCACTTATTAGGAGGTGTGTTATTTTGCAAAATGTCAAAATTAGTACGAGTGAAATCATACACTTGTAAATTGTACTTCTTTTCTCAATTCCAACAACAATCTGATCCTTTTGACAAAAAAAAAAAAAAAAAAAAAACTAACAATCTGATCTGATCGGGCTCCATATCCAACAGTTGCGCAAAAGCTCTATATCCGAAACCCTAACTTCTCTTATCGCTCAATTCGATCGGGGAAGCACTTCTCAGCAAATCTCTTTGATATATGCACGCATGCCTGTAAAAACTCAATAACCTTCACAATTATCACCCTTATAATTTGTAACAAGAGTCTCCACCAAACATTGTTGTTCCCCTACAAATCTCATCTTATCCACCTCTCTCTCTCTCTCTCTCTCTTTCTCTCTCTCTCTCTTTCTCTCTCTCTCTCGGTCAGCCCAAATTATGTCCTGTCCATCGCTGAACTTTGCGATGAACTTACTCTTTGCCCTATCAGCCAGTTTCTGGTCGTGCTCCTTCAGCACTGCCATTGCCGATCCCGAGTTGGACACTACCACATTCAGTGTGGATCCAATCCACGCCGACATGATTGGCCCGTATAACTGGCTGCACTCAGCTACCGGAGGAACACCGGTTTATGCCGAAGAGGTTTCCAACGATCGGCCATGGACGTGGACCTGGTGGAAGCTTGTATATTCAGCCGCTGGTAGAGCTTGTATGACTGGAAGATCAGGAGGATATATGCTTGATGAAACGGGAAGCAGTAGTCCCGGGAGACTGGGAGAGCCATATCGCATGCAAATGTCGGAGTTGGATTTTATCGGATATTTCTGAAGGGACTATTTTGTTAACATTTTAAGTGGACAGTGAAAAATAAACATCAATACTTCAATTCTAATTGAGTCACTTTTTTTTTTTATTTTTTTGTTTTTTCCCGCAAACTCGACACATAAATTCCATATTTACTTATATTTGTTCTGCTTCTCAAGTCAAGGGAAAGATTTCAAGAAGTTCATAGATTTGAGTATAGCGAGCGTACATGTACGAGGATCAATTCAATCACAATACTCTTGGTCAAAACATCACGAAGAATATCCGGTGTTTCCTCAAACCAATACAAAAGTAATCTATACGAAGAGAGAAACCCTGTTCAGTGACCCGTTGCAGCAGCACCTTCGGATCTGGAGGGACTTCAGTTACGTTACCATCACAGCTTCACATTTTCATTTTGGACCCAAAAGCAATTCGGGCCCATCTCCCTAAGTAATGTGGTAGAAGCCCAAGTCTTCAGTCCACTATGTCCTTCACTTGCAAAACTGAGTTGCGCCCTAGTTTTTGTTAGCGTGAGTCAAACATATTTTGTATTTATTTTTAATATTATAATTCTCTTCTTATTACGAATTTCTTGTATACTTATTTGAATATATATCACACCTCCGAGAGAGCAAAATACATTAACCCAAATTATTTGATTAGTTTTTATTTGTTTTTCGTTCTACCTTTCAGTTATGGATGAATCTCCAACTTGAAAATCGTTAACAAATGCGTTGTTGTAGTTCATTGGGACAATGCGTTGTCTTAGTTAAGTGAGACGATGCAATTCGCTCCCGAAATAGAGGCAGAGTATGAGCTACATGAATCACCATCAAATTTCAACTAAGTCTAAATGAGCTGATATACCTATCCATTGCAAATTTTCATACCTTACGTTGTAGACAACTGATATGGATATATCATCAATATTTTCATAAATTTGCATATCAATATTTAAAACATTAGTTGTGCCCTAGTTTTTGTTCACGAGAGCCCATAATTAATATTATACTTCCCTTTTTATTATTCAGTTTGTTTTCATTTTACGTTTGAGTTATGGATGAAACTCGAACGTAAAAACCATGAACAAAAGTGTGGTTTTAGTTGATTGGGACAATGCGTCGTCTTAGTTAAGTAAAACGATGCGATTCGCTCCTTGAACAGAGGCAGACTACAAGCTACAAGAATCACCATCAAACAACCATGCATTGTTCTCCCGGGCTCATAGCATTGGCTTTGATAAATAACAAATGAAATATTTTATAAGAATTGGTAATATTTTACAAGATTTGATGAGCCAGAAACAAAACTAGAAATAACAAAAATCCCAGGATGGGGAAAAGCAGTAAAAAGAATATTCGCATTTCAGGAGTTTACAAGTGTCTGTCCAACACGAGTTAGCAGACCGAGTCAATCTCCAACGCCCAAATCAGTCAACGCGTCGATCTCTCACTGTTTCCGCCTGTGTCCGCCGTGTAACCCGTGATTCAAACTATCCCCCAAAAACGTCTTCGCCGCGTCCAAGCTCGGAAAATAGGTCGGCTCCAGAAATATCCGACTCAGCGAGTCACACGCCTCCGGACTCACCACGACTTGGTTCCCCTTCGCCTCCAAGCTCCCCATCAACACCACCAGCACCTGCTTGTACGCGTAGTAGAATCGCTTCAACGCCGACTCAATCGCCTGAAGCGCCTGCAGCAAGTGGATCTTATCCGAGACGGATTCCGAGTCTGACTCGGCTTTCTTCTCCGAGTACAGCCTCATCGCCGCCTCCTGAATCCTGGGCCCACCCTTGGGGTCCACCTCAACACCCAGTATGGACGGCACCTTATGCCTCAGCTCCTTGCAGAGCTTCGTCACCTCCACGAGCGCCTTCGATCTGAAGCAAAATGACTCCGTATCGTCCACCGTCTTGATCCGCAGCTGGTTCTTCAGCCTCAGAAAATCGGCTGGGTCCATCAGAAGGTGAAGATCCTCTATCTCTGCGAGGAGCTTCCATATCCGTTCGATCACGTAACAGTCGCTCGCGGCCTTTTCCAGGTCTCGAGAGTCGATGCGGCTTACCGCGCGCATGAGAAGCTCCCGGCAAACGTGGACCCACGACTCGAGGACCTGGTGCGTGGTGTACACCGTCTGGTTTTCGTAGTTGTCGACGTGGGCATCGTACGGGCTCTTCCTCAGCGAATGCAGCTCGCTCGGCTTGCAAACGGCGTCGTAATCCAGGTTCGGCTTCCCGGCGAGGTTCGGCTCCCCCAGACCCAACGAGTACGGACAGTTACTCATCTCGCACTCGATCGAGTACAAGATCTTCTGTGCCATCCCTTCCGATTTCTGCCACGTGGCGAGCCTAGGTAGCAAGCTGACCTCGCTGGTGCGGCTGACCACCGTGTGCTCCCCAGAACTCCACACCTCCGCCATGCTCCCGTCGCGGGCCAGCTCCCCGTTCGACGTGCTGAGATCGACGATCGGCGCCAATCCGCGCGTCTCGCTGTCCTCCTCGTCGTCCTCGATCAACATCGCGATGAGCTGTATCTGGCTGGTAATGAGCGACTCAAGCCGGCGCTTCCACTCGCGCCGGTTTGAGTACGGTCTAGGGTCGGACAAAACGGTCGAGACGAACCGGAACGAGATTTCGAGAGCTTGGAGAGCCGGCTTGAGAATGGACTCGTTTTTCCACGATGGGAAGTCGTGAGAGCTCCAGAACTCTCGGAGCTCCGGGAGGCGGAGGTAGTGCTCGTAGGTGGAGCAGGACATTTCGGAGGCGGCGCAAATATCGGTCTGAACTTGGGCGGCGGAGCGAAACGAACCGGGAACCGAAACGTGGAGCTTGGTGGAGAGTTTGGAGGATTTGTTGGGTATGTTGGAGGAGACCATCTTTGCTTTCCAATCTAAATCGACCATTTGAGACTTGTGAGAAGAGAAATGAATTTTGAAAACGTTTTTTTTATTCCTTTTTTTTGAGAACTTTTGGATTTAGGATTTGAGTTGTGTTTGAAACCAAGAAGAAAAGAGCGAGGGGGTATTTATAGGGCAGCGGGAATTGGAGAGAAGAAAAGGCGTGTGGAATTTCGGGGCGGTGGGTGGGCATGAAGAATGACGAATTTGAAAGTCGTTTTTGAAAATTAAATTTAAATGAATTTTAATATTTTTTGTTTTTTTGGACACTTGAAGCTTATCCATATCACCGTCTGGTTTTCCAATTTATAATATTTATTCATTCATTTTCTTAGTGTATTATATCGGAAAGGTATCCGGAGAGGATCTCTCTCACTAAATTCATTAAATCAGGAGATTCAAACCTTTGAAATTTAATCTAACAGTTAAAGTTATTATAACTTTTTAAGGGGGTCCTCGTTTTTAGCGGTTGGATCAAATTTTAAGGGTCCGAATCCCCTGATTTGGTAGAAGGGATCCGGAGAATATCCATTTCCTATTATATCCGTGTACATAAATAAATAATTGTCTTCTAAAACGATCATGTTAGGAATTGTTTGGAGAGTGCTTTTAAATAATTGAAAGTATTTTTAAAAAAAATATTTTTGAAATCAATTCTTAGTAAAAATACAAGTTAATTTTGAAAAAACACTTAAAGTACTTCATTCAAGAAACACCATAACTGTGCTTCTTGCAAGAACACTTCAAACCCTTTTAGAACCCAAAAATAATTTCTCTAAAAAGCGATTTCAATCATCAAAATACATTTCCCAAACAAGCCGTCATTGTTTTATTTAAAGACATTTATTTTTATTTTTTGAATATATTCTTAAAATTCGACACATTAATTTGGTGATATGTGTAGTATTATACGTGTAATAGTAACATAATATGGTTGTGTTTACAATGCACGAAAAATTTCTCAAAAAATGGAGAAAAATAAATAAAAATCAGAAATAATGAAGAATAAGAAGAGGAGGAAGGAAACTGCGTATGTATGTTTGAAATGGAATTGTCGAACGTTTGACTTTGGTCAACGTTGAGCGACGTCCATGATCCATCTACAATCAGCTGAACTATTCTTCTTTGGAAACAACACGTTTTCTTTCTTTCTCCAACTATACACCCGACTTCCTAATTTTAATGACAGCTTTTTAAATTACCTTATTAGGTAATAATAATTACGTATTTATTTACGGGATTTGGATCCTCTCCTGAACTTAGGAGGCTGAGTCTTCTGAACAAAGCACACGGGTCGTTAGATTTGAATTCAACGGCTACAATTATTATAACTTTTAGAGGGTCCCCCCATTTGTAGCCGTTAAATCAAAATCTAATGGTCCGTGTACTTTGCTCAGGAGGCTAGCCTCCTAAGCTTAGGAGAGGATCCAAATCCTGATTTACAATTTTATGTAATTTTTTTTTTTTTTGTTATTTTAAAAGACGGATATCTGGTGGCAAGTCATGGTTATCCACTCTTTTCAAGAGCTGGAAAAACTCATAGACGCATTTTAGCCTTCCCTAGCCACAAGTCTGGCTTCCACACTAGCATCAAGTTTCGAACTCAAGACCTTCAGTTTTTAGTTTGAAAGAAGCTTCTCAATCTGCCATTTACCACTGGGCCACCAGCTCGTGGTTTAATTTTCTTTGTTATTGATACTTGGGTGAATGGGAACAATTTAGCTAACTAATTTCAAGTGGTAATGATACTTATTACCTTATTTATTACCGTTAGATAAGTTTAAATTTGAGATTTGTGTAGTGAATCGACACAAATTTTTAATTTAAACTCATCTATGGTATTGAATATGATGGTGAACACTACCACTATTTGAGGATGATGGGCAAAAATACATTCAGTTAAATGTATATCTAAAAAGATCAAATATTTACCTTTTATAATTTTATTTGATAAGGTTAAGCTAAAGTTCGAAAGATAGTTTAATGTTTCTTTTTGTGGATATGTCTTGCAATCCATTTTTGTTATTACAAATTATACTGTATCGAACGATCGTCTGTTGATTAGATCATTGTTTAATATTTTTATTCTTTTAGCTTTTGAGAAATCTTTTAGTGTGTCAGAAACATAACGCGGTATATTATATCATTATACAAAAAGAGAGATACTTGAAAATACAATTATTCTTCATTTATATATTAACATGTGACGTACCGTCTGTTTTGAACACATTGATAGTCTCTCCTAAGTTTCACGATGACAGGGGGATTAACATAAGGTTCTCAACAGAGAAAACAAGTTTGCATGGTTTTAAGATAAGTCGAATCAAATACAATTTTTTTTTTTTTTTTTTTATCTTTTTTTGTAGTCAATAGTTGTAGCCGGCTTTTAAAGAAGACCATTAATTTATTCGAGTTCCTTCTTTGGATGATTCGTGGGCTGTCCCTTCACAAAAATTGGTTGTCATCAACATTTTATAATACAAGAAATTGTTTGTTGACGTTTCCAATTAGTAAAAAAATCTGAAGAAGGTGACATGAGTTTATGTGGCCAGAATTCCGAAGGTGACATGAGTTTATGTGGCCAGAATTCCGAATCTGGCAGGGCGGACGTACAAGGGAACCAAAGGGTTTTAGGATTACTCCGAATGTAAAAAATATACATGCGAAGGTTTTTTGAGGATTCTTTGAATGTTTGACAAGGATTATTTTTGTATTTATTAAGTATTTAATATAATAACTGATAGACATATCTCGACAAATTGCGTTGACAACATTCAATAAATGCTCAATATCACTCATCAAAACGCTTCGACATATATCGATATTTGTTGACATGTACGTAACATGATTTGACTAAAAACAACAAGCCAACTAAGTGATCGAAGAAATGACTCAGTGAATAAATTAAATTTTTTTTGAAATGCTTCGCACTCTATTTTTTATCTTGGAAGCTTAAACATTTAATATTGAAACCCCAAATGTTCGAATTCTAAATCCGTCATTAATTATCGGTTAAGTTTGGATAGAATTAAGAGGAGGGACACAAAGTCTGTCCCGACATTTAGGAAGGGAGAAGGAAAACAACTGCAGCCGACTCCGGCTAATTTTATACCACGGCCTGTTTAGTCCGCCTACTCACATAGAATTAAAGAAAGCAAGTAAACGCCAACTGTGTTCGGAAAAGCACTTTGGATAGGATTGTATAGTTTGGAAGTGTTTTGCCTTCGTTAGCTATTGGAGCCAATATTTAGTCCCATCGGCCATCGATATTGCCATATTAAGGTGATTAAATAAGGCAACTTGATTAGGGGTTTGGTTTCTTTTGTAATTACTCGATGCTAATGTCCCAAATAAGTTATAATTATTTGTTAACGTCCAAAAAAAAGTTATAATTATTTGTTACTCGATGCTAATGTCCAAAAAAAGTTATGAGGGCAACACGAATATCCGAATTTTTTAGAGGATTATTTGTTAAGTTATAATTAAGTTTATTGAGAAACAAAATAGAGAAGTTTGTTGTTACTCTAATCAAAGTTTGTAGCATATCAAGATTTTGATATTCTTTGTGGAATACATAACAAAAAAAAAGACAAACAAGATGAGATATTTCATGCAATTGCAGTTTGTTGTTTGGTGTGGAATTTTAGAATTAATTTTCATCATACACGAAATGCAAACGCATAACGCGCAAAATGTGATCTCATACAAATGTGAGCTGAAGTTTTAAAAGAAAAAGAACAACGAGAGCAAAAAAATTAAGCATAAAATGTGTTAGGTTAGAAACAAAAAATAGAGAGGTTTGATCAAAATTATGTAGCATATCACGATTGATATTTTTTATGGAATACATATGAAATGAGACATTTCATGCAGTCGCAGTTTGTTGTTTGGTGTAGAATTTGAAAACTATTTTTTTGTCACACTACGAAATGTGGACACATAAACACCTAACTCAAATATGATTTGTTACATCCCACATCGTCAAAGGGAATGGATCATGTAAACCTTATATGTATATTCTCATCTCTACCTAGCACGAGGCCTTTTGAGGACTCACTGGCTTCGGGTTCCATCGGAACTCCGAAGTTAAGCGAGTTTGGGCTGGAGCAATCCCAGAATGAGTGACCCATTGGGAAGTTGCTCGTGAGTTTCCAGAAACAAAACCATGAGGGCGTGGTCGGGACCCAAAGCGGACAATATTGTGTTACGATGGAGTCGAGCTCGGGATGTGATGGGGCCCTGGGCTGGGATGTGACAATTTGGTATTAGAGCCAATCCTTGGCCGGAAGTGTGTATGTATATTCTCATCTCTACCTAGCATGAGGCATTTTGGGGACTCATTGGCTTCGGGTTCCATCGGAACTTCGAAGTTAAACGCGTTCGTACGAGAGCAATCCCATGATGGGTGACCCATTGGGAAGTTCTCGTCTGAGTTCCCAGAAACAAAACCGTGAGGGCGTGATCGGAGCTCAAAGCGGACAATATCATGCTACGGTGGAGTCGAGCCCAGAATGTGGTGGGAGTCCGGGCCGGGATGTGACATGATCTCATGCAACCTTATTTATGATAATCCGAACTCTCTCTGAACTAATATCTGCAACAGTTTTTTTATAATTTATCAGCTCTTAATTTATTAATTTCAATATTGAATGAAATTTCATGTTCCTTCCTTTCTACTTTCAGAAAGGAAAAACAAACCCTAAATCTAGGGTTTGAACGAGGGATTTAGGCGTTCGCCTGTTTTGCATTACACTCAAAGGATTCCAACGTTTACCCTAAAAAAAAGTGTTTCTTTTGCATTGTTCTCATATTATTTATCAGAAAAGTAGAACAAAACATATTAAAATACAACATTTGAAACATTCGTCGTTTCCAACATTGTACGTTTCACATTTGGTAAGTAAGAAAGAATTGGAAAAGGCAAAAGGAAAAAGTAAAAATATAATAAAAGAAGCCAAATTGGCGGACTTTACATTGCATTTGCACATCCATATCCAATCCAGATGACTCATACAAATAGTGGATAGTATTATTTAATCCCAAATAAACCAAGTGGCATTGCATTCTTCAATTCAAATTATGGGCATGCATTGCCTGCATC